CTTTCTTCACGGATGAGCTTGTTGCAATCACGATGCCCATGGCTCCGTTGGCCATCTTGGTCGCCTTCTCTGATGGAAGAAGGAAGAGGGATGCCACGGGGTCACGTGGTCTCCCGCAACAAATTAAATCCAGATTTTACTGTTGAAAGATTGTCCGCACGGGCCAGTTTCTATTGGGTCCTCTGACACCTACCTTCTCCGCCCTCCCGCCTTGGAACAGACCCCACTCGAACCCTTAACCGAGCCTCGGTTTGGACTCTGCCCATCTTTCAATCGCCGCGTTGAGTTCTGTTTTCGACTTTCTGAGATCCATACCACTGTTACCCGCTGAGCGTGTAGGGGGTTGCACAGGTCTGGTCGCAAGAGGGTCGGGGATTAGGTAAGCTGAGCCACGAGCATCATTCCGCAAATTTTTCTTAGGATTGCGTTTGTACGACATGCTGACCAACTCGAATAGTAGTTGCACCTCGGCGCACTCAGCATGGAAGACCCCGCCGATTGCCAGCACGCGATTCACTTCCTATAACAGGCGGCAGTCTTCACCATAGCCAACCTGCTGCGCGGGGCAAGCGGCGGTCCCAGGTAAGCACCGCGCCTTGAACCTCATATGTCCTACACAGACGACCGGACGCTTACAGTGATGGTACAGCTTACCGCACATATACACTCGACCACTCCCACCGTTGGGAACACCTGGCCGCCGACATGGACGATCGACCGCGCGCCAGAGCTGGAAAACGGCTGCTGCCAGCTCTCTGTCTGGGCACGGCCCACAAGATAGACGAAGAGGACGTGAAGCGCAGGCGACTGGCCCTCGGAGATTAGTGCTCGCCGGGCCAAGAAAGAACTACCAGGCGCGTCAATTTGCGGGATGTCCTGGTGCTACTGCGAAAGGAAAACCCCGACGGCAGCCGACAGACACTATACGCCGACATTTTGGCCCACTGGGTTGTCAATCATACGGCGGCGGCGACTAGCGACCGGCCACTGCCGGAATACGTCGACTGCGATAAGATGTTTCAGGACCTCGTCGCCCGCAGCGCAGAGCACGGCAATGCTGAGGTTCCGACGCAAGTTCTGGCGGCGCACGTGGAGCCGGCGGCCGGCGGTGGTCCTGGGATGGGCAACGGCTGTGACGAAGCCTCTGGCTGCGATGACGGCTTAGGCGACGGCATCGCCTCGGGTCGGTTCAACATCGGATCGGCCGGTGATCTGAGGGTTCTCCTTCTCCACCTTGACAAGTGCGCAGCTACCCGATAGGACGGGAGCGCGAATCTTCCCTTGCTCGAGCTCGTTGTTCGAAATGCCTCCTCGGCCGCAACAGCCGAAGCCAGCTCTGTAGCTGACATCAACGATGCTGACAACGCCATTGTGCTCGAGCGGGAGGGGCAAGATCATACGATGACCGAGGCGAGCCCTGGGGCCAAGACCAGCGATGCGAGCAACAATATTATGTCCGAGCGAGAGAGGGAAGATCATGCAACGGCCGGTATGAGCCTTGCAGATAGCATCAACAATGTAGTCGGCGCCGCTATGTCCGAGAAGGCGGGGGAAGATAATGCACTGACTGAGACGAGCCGCACAGCCAAGGCCAGCAATATGCGGTTATACGTGTAGTAAAACAACTGGATTTGCGCTGCTCTTGACAAAATTGAACGTAGATACTCATGCCCTGACATCAGAGTACAATAGAACTCCCAAGTCCACATCACCCCAGCCTGACCTCCTTGGCCCCCCAACGGCTCATAGCATCAGAAAAGGGCACTCCAAATAGGGTTTTGAACTCGTCTTCGTAGTAAGATATAGTACCAACGCGCTCGAAGTTCACCGATCCTTCAGGTCTATAAAGAACCAAGAACCGGATCGAATCTTGTCTGTACGCAGGGTCATTGTTGATGCCCGACCGCAGTGCTAACAGAGTAAACGAAACGGGCGTGTCCGGGGCGCTCAGAGTCCACGGAACGGGGGTTTCGGGGCCACTGGAAGCAGCGTAAGCGCACTGCGTATGTGCCACGAAGCTAGGCCAGAAGAATTTTCGATGGTCGGTGCACGGGTCTTGATCTGTTTTGAGAAGTCCACTCGAGTCCGTAAAGCGGCCCCGTCCGGAAACGTGTACGTCTAGGGCCAGACCACGGATACGGAGCAAGACAGGCAGTCGGCCGGCCCGATCCCGAGCGAAGATCAAATCTTGGTCGGCAGTCCAGGATAGCTGCAGTCCGTCGGCATAATGGACGCTGGCATCGACAAGAGCGGTCCCTCCATGGTCTGCTCTAGGCTCAGGTATCCAGAATCTCCTTTCTTTTGGCACCCTCCAGCCCAGCCATGTCCAGCTTGGAAAACCTGGTCTTCGTATGACTGTCTCAGAGCTCCAAGACTGGCCGTACCGGCGCTTCCAAAACCATGACAGGCCCTCGACCAAGGAGTTCAGGGGCGAGGTATTCGGTCCCACACAAATGGGAATACCAGCGAGCACCTTTCTGGAGGTGGAGAACTGGCGTTCATAAGCCGCCAGAACGCCCCTAAAGGCGTCTAGAATATCCGCTTCGAAGGTTAGAGATCGTTGAAGGAACTCGCCGATTCTGTCCCTCAGGGCAGCCGGATTTCTTCCTACGGTATGGAGAGGAAAAACCCGGGACATGTTAACCGCGTCCCGCATCCGGTCCTTGTTTTGGGTGTGCAAGGGCTTAAGGGGTGCCTGGATGCTTTCCGCACAATGCATTGCTTGACACTGGAAGTAGACCTGCATATCCGTAACCACAAGCCTCCTTCTGGCAAGTAAGCCCTCTTGATACGTCCAGCCGCGACTGTTCCATTTGGACTTCAGAATTTCGTGCTTCTTGAATGGCACCCACGCCAGAGTTCGTGACCCAATGGTTACCGATGGCTGCACTTTCCTTGGTGTTGTTCCAACACCAGGCAGCCCGTGATGCGGATTCTCCCCTGCCGCGGCGATAATAGTGAGGGCAGAGTGCTGATAGATGACATCCATGCTTTGAATCTGTAGATGTTTGACCTTGGCGTCATCCCGCGGTATGCAGTATCGGTCGACCCAGAGATACCGGTACCCAAGGCTGTTCGTCAGAGAGATGGCATCATTGATGGTCCTCGGTGGCGGTTCTGGAATCGTGCCTCCAGAGCTTTCAACTCCAGCCTGGTCTGTTCCCCATACGTAGCTGAGGGTCACGTAGTGCTTCGGAAAGGCCACCTCTTCCCATGCCACCGGCACTGTCGAGCCCGTCGAGCAGTCTATAACACGAAATCCCTGGGGGACTACCGGGTTGAGCTGCGCACAAGTTTTGTGGTGTCTGCCGCAAAAGGACAGCCATTCCGTAAGAAGGGAGATGTCGATCGTGGGTCTTAATCGGCGAGCGGAGAGTCGAACTTCCGCCACCTCAGAGACGACCATGGCAATCCCGGGCCCGCGTACGTCGCATCTGTCGAGTGAAATTGGTTGAGGTTTGACGATAAAGACCGGCGAGTCTTTCATGTCGGTACCATTAGCGCCGAAGAGCACATTCACGGGCATGCTGACAAGCTCGTAGTTGTGCAGTTCCCATTCATTCCCGTAGGGTTCCGTGGTTTGGCAAAGAAATCGACAAAGACGACATTCGCGTTGCGGGTCAAGGTAATTCAAAGGAACTTTCCATCTCCAGTGTGCCGTGAAGTCAGTCCTGCTAAGGATGCTCTCGAAGTCGATATTTCGGCAATCGCGGCATATTTCACCAGAAACGCATGCGCCGTTCGACATCCGCTCAAGCTGGGACTCGGTAATAAGTTTGCGCTCCTGCGGACATTCATGTCGTGAGCGCTTGGCGTCGGGGACGCCATGGTCCTGGGAATACTGTCTCTTGTTGGATAGAGTCGGCATAACTGCACTTTACGGGTCTCTTGGGCTAGAGCGCGGCCAGCTAGACCTGACAAAAAAGAGTTCATGTTGGGGAAAGGACAATACCTAGCGATTGCAACCTACTCGGGGGGTTTGGATCTTGTGGTGTGTAGCCTTTCCATTTCGGGCCGCAAATACGTCCGTACCAAGATTGCCTTGCTGAGCCACTGTCTTCCAGCCATTAGGGTGTGCCTGAAAACACAAGGAGTCTGGCAAGTACTCGGCGAAATGGCTTCTATTGGCCGAGTCCGCTCAATGGTCGCGTTCAGTTCACCGCGACCGCAGTTTAGGTTGGTGCGGTCGTGCGGTAAAGCAACGTTCTGGGGCTGTGCCTGGGCTGGAGGAGGCCCTTGTTTAAGTACTGTAAGTACTGTACGGATTTCAAAATCTTGGCATGGTACTTGACCAACCAGACTTTGCCCAGTAGGTTTAAATACCCCACTCGGATAATATATCCTGACTTGTCACCGTACGCCTCCTCTCTGTCTGTGAACATATGTGGTCTGTTGGCGCGTGCCGCCTACAGTCAAGAGACATGGAGCTGGTGCCGTCCTCGCGGCCAGATCCGCGGCAGCAGGCTCGCCTGCCTGGTCAGTCTCGACATATTCGGTCCTGACAGCTTTCATCGCTTAGAGGCGCCTGCCAGACGACCGCCACACGGTGTGTTGGTGATCAACATCACACTCCTGCATCAGCGTGCGCCTAGCCTCTAAGGGCTGACCATCGAGGGGCTCAGATGGGTCCCAGGTGCACGATAGAGCGAGGAGTGGCCTTCAAGCCGGGTTACTCATGTTATCGCTAAACGACGAGTACGCGCAGAGAAAAAGACGGAAGAAAGTCAGGACGTAAGCCGGAAAGGACGTACGGGCTTTGGAAAACCAGGCTCCAACTTGGAAAATGTACGGAGTACTACGTTAACAGTTGTGTCAAAGCTGCCCTCTCGGTTAAGTCTCCCGGGCAGAATCAAATTGTGTGCGTGTCTCTGTGTGTGCTGTTTGGGCCTGCAGCGGTTCAACAACCACCCAGCCGCCACAACTCAGCGAACCGAATTAGTCAGGCGAACGAATGATACTCGGAAGATCCGGTAATCCGGTCCACCTATCAACGCTCAGCGTCCGCAAAATCCGACATCGCCAATACTAAACAGAGATGCTGAAGATATTCGTCAGCATGGGTAAATCTGTGTATAAGTCTCCATGCTCATCAGGGCTAAGAGAGTTGGCGAACGACCGGAAATGAGGCGAGCACGCGGAATCTCCCACAGGATGCCAAGAATGCTTCCGCTGCTGGCTCCTGGAATCTGCCTACTCTGTGACGGGACTGCTTGACTGGCCGCTTGTATCAAACTAAGCCTTACGGTTCTGCGGCACAGCCAACTTCGCCGTTTTCTTCAAACGGATGCCACTAACAGAGGCTAAGAGGCACCCTTTTTGGATCCCACCTCCTCGAGCGCGGTCTCCACCGACAAGTCCCTGCCGCCCGGCCGTCTACCCCCCAGCGGCTCGTCGCTAGCAGGCGCGTTGTCGCATTCGTCATCAGAGCCGCTCCTATATGCGCTGTCCTTCAGGTCAGAGTCATCTTCCAGGTCCCAGCCGTGTGTGCGGTCCGAGTTGTCTTCGAACTCCGAGTTGTCTTCGAACTCCGAGTTGTCTTCGAACTCCGAGTTGTCTTCGAACTCCGAGTTGTCTTCGAGGTCCGAGTTGTCTTCGAGGTCTGAGTTGTCTTCGAGGCCCGAGTCGTCTCCGCTGTTGTCGTTACCATCGCCAGCAGGAAGGTCTTGGTTGGTACAGTGCTGCATGGTGCTGCTGGACCATCGGCCAGACGACGCGTCGACAAGGTCCCAAAGCCTATGCTCCCAGAGGTCTCCCGCCCGACGGAGCACCTCGCCCCGTAGCGGCACGTCCGTGACGCCCGTGTAGTCTGGCCGCGGCGCTGCCGCAAGCCGGTGGCTCCGGAACACGAATGCTATACAACGCTTCCAGAGACGCCGGTACGCCTTCACCGTGCAACGGGATACGAAAGCGAACGGCTTCTTATAACCGTCTTGGCCGAAGCTGCGTAGCCGGCAGAGGACGGACCGGCTCGTATATCTTGCTGTTTCGTCGCATCGGTCGAGCATACGGTCGACCGCGTCCATTAAGAACGAGATCCTCTGCTCGTCCTGGCAGCTGTTGGTTACGTCGGGATCACCGTCGTATGCGCCTTGCCCGAGGGCGCGGTCGCAGGTGAGGTCGCGGCGGTCCGGCAGCTAGGCCAGTGCGAACAAGATGTCACGCCGCACGCCCTTGTACGTCGCCGGCCACTGCGTCCGGTTCATCCATGGAGTTGACGCAGCGAACACATCGCCACCTCCCGTGTCTCGGCCGTATACACGCGGCTGGCTCCCCGAGTCGACGGATCTCTTCTCGCGGGCCAAAATCGTATCCAAGTGTATCTGGGCATCCGGACTGACGGGTAACAGCCGCCCGCGGCCTCGGACCATGTCGGAGGGGGCCTGGGTCTCCAGATTGACTGGTAGTAGGAGTGGCTGCTTCTTGTTTCCCTGCCCGGCGGCTTTCGTGCTCCCTTGTAGTTGTCACGGCGATTGCGCCGTGCCTGCCAGGACGGATGGATGGATGGAATTTACTTCGCCCGGAGGCTCGAAGCCTAAAGGGCCTTGGCACGCTAACTACATCCGATTCGTTGACGTTCGGGCATCAACTCGTACAAGCCCTCTACTCT